GTCACGATGTGGAGCATCGTCATCATTGCTATTGATATGCTTTTGCAGTTGTTTGCACTTTTTCGGGGGCTGAGGGCTCCCATCGTTTTACCCTACCTCCCTTCAAAAAAAAAAAACAAAAAACTACAGGCTTACTACTCTCGTATTTTTGCATGCAGTTTTTGTTTGATTTTATTTTGCCACGCCTACAAATTTCATGAGGTCGCCGCTCACCTTATTGTTGTTTCATCGGCTTGCATGGTTTTTTCCATGAATTTATTGCTTGCATATTTTTGGGCTCCTACAACCTGGGCCCCGCCCACTTTCTGCCTTTTTTATGTGCATGTGTGTGTGTTTGCTCCCATTTTGTTTGGACACGGAAATGGTTAACAGCAACAGCGGATGTTGTGTAAATTTAATAAATATACCTTTCGCTACTTTTGTTTATTTAACCAATTCAATTTTATTTTTAACCCGTAACTCGTAACTCCACAAGCCGGCCATTGTACTCGCTTATACACTGAGAACATAAATATTTATTTAGTATTTTTAACCATAATATGCAAAGGTGACACAGAAATCTTTAAAAGCTTTAAAATCGTCTTGAATGTGCTGGAAAGTAGGCAATAAAAAGATTTGAAACCGAAAGCAAGGTGGATTAAGACAACCTTCTTTTTTCTTGCATACTTTTAGGCATATTTTAAGTGATTTCAAAACCCCAGTGATTTTTGTAATACCCCACTTAATGTAATGGGAAATTATTTTTAAAAATTATATTACAAATTAAAAAGTTTTATAATTTATTGCAATATTAAATATTTAAGTGTCACTTAAAAAACAATAAAGTACGGTTTGAGTTAAGTATTCTTAAATTAAAGTAACAAATGTCTTAGTTATTTAATTACCACTTTCAAGCTGAAGACATCAGTTATGTTTTTTTTTTTAACCAAATATGCTTGCCTAATATTTTTCTCTCTGTGTAAGTTGCATGTGCACACATGTGTGGGCATCTAATTAGCAGTTTGGCCTGCATTGTTGCAAATTTTTTGGCCGATGGGTTGAATGCTGGAATTCAGTCGTAATATTGACTGCGCGTAAATCGCTCGGATTATAATTTGTATAAATACACACAGTTACCTTGTTAAACAGTCGGCCAACTTTTACCCTAATAATGCCCGGCTCAGACGGGCTTAAAAAAATTAAACACAGGCACACAAAGGACATTCCTAATCCTGTCGAATGTAAACGGTAATTGCCTGTTAACAGTTAAGCGATTTAATTGAATATTCGCAAATATCATTATCCACAAAATTCTGACATTTTGCCAGCAGATTAAACCAAAGATAGGGCAAGTTAAAAGCCATCAAATTTAATAATAAATATTATAAATGTGGATTTAAAATTGAGAAATTTAAATTGACTGAGGCGAGTCCGGTTTGAAAAAGTATCTGTACAAAAAAAAAAAACGTCAACAATCTTTCACTTCCACTTCCTTGCATTCAAATGATCTCTCTAGACTTTCACTTGATAGCTCCAATCAGTGGCAGCAGAAAATGCTGACTTGTGTGTTTAAAATATTCGAAGTGAACTCACTATGCAGCCAGAGTAGAAAAAAAAACAGCAGAAAAAAAGGAGAAAAACCGAGACTGGCGACTCAATTGAATTCTGCGGCAATAAGTCAATTGGAAATCATTGAACAACAATTTGACGTGCCATTTATAAAAGCATCAAAATCTGTTCGACCACTTTGCTTTCGGGTTGGCCGGGGGAAAACGGTTGGAAAGGCGAGGAAAAGTGGGAAAACTGGGAAAAGTGAGGGTGTTTTTATGGGGGCGGGGCAGCTACAACGTAGTGTGCCAATTAATGTTGGCAATTAAATGGCGTCCACAGCATTTGAACGGCACATTTGTCAAGGGGAAACAGAGAGGCTCCTTGGTTTTCCGAAAATCCCCAGCCCCCCTCCCCCCGTCTAACCCCTCACATATACAATGGCCATCTGATTGCTTGGCCATTTCCAGCATTTTCCTCAAGCTGCTCGCATTTTCTGGCCTTTTTCTACGGCTCTCGTCTTGACTGCAATTCAATTTCGCTCCGATTCAATTCGATTCGATTCGATTTTGGACTTGGATTTTTTTTTTTCTTGCTGCATTGTCTGTTTGCAATGATATACATTTATATTGAGCAACAATTGTTTTGGCATTAAAAACCGGCGGAATGTGCAATTGATGGCCCGACTTTGGGCCACGTTCGCTTGCTGTCGCCGGTGCCATCCATCACACTCAAAGCGAAATAAATTGAAACTAATGCCAAAATGGCAATCAATGAATGTTGCTGCTGCTGCAACAGCAACACAAACGGCAGCAACACGAGCAACTTGCACTTGCAACAGCTGTTTTCGTTTACTTTCCCAGCGAGCAACTCGAAAATCCTGTTCGTGGAAAGCCAGGTTTTTTCAGGTGAAAATGGTTAGTGGAGCAACGTTGTGTAGGCTCACTTTCTAGTAGAAATCAAGTTCAATTTGACAAACTGGCGCTCGCAACTGACAATCATGTCGAAAATCAATCATAAATGTTGTACAAGATTTTTTAAAAAGCTGATCAGGTGTAAATGTTGCTATAAGTATTGGTATATATTTTATTCAACAGCTAAAAAGGGGCAATATATATTGGTATTTTTCCTGGGGAATGGCCGAAGTGAAATGGTTAGTGGGTGGTGCTGTTGCAAATCATATTTAACACCACCTGCCAGTTGACCCACCAGGCGAAATCCTTTGACGAACGAAAACATAGCACCTAATAGTCAAAGTGACACGCTAAGCTGATTAACTCTAATCTAAAGTTGCAACCGGGGGAAAATAAAACACCAACCGAACACAATCAAGGAAGGGCGAGTGTGAGCCAAAGGGAAAACAGCAGGAAAAGCACAGTCCGCATTGCTCGTGAAAGTGCACTGGGAGAAAATGTTCTGAAAAGTGTGTTATAAATAATTGTAATAATTATAAATTAAAATATCTGAAAATAATTTTAAAAATAAATCTTAAATCGTATAAAAGGAAGTTACAAATAGGTATTCTTTCTAATCTTATAGTATATTTTATAAGCTTTTAAAAAATAGAGGAAAATACAAGACAATGTATGTTATAAAAATGGTAATAAATCAGCTATTCATAAAAAAATACAACATTATTTTCTTTAAGAACATATATAATATCAGTTTTTATATGAACTAAATCATCTGTAAAAACTACAACTTAAGCATAATCCTTTTTCTCACTAAGGATAAAATCAAGCTCCATTTGCTTTTGGTGTTTTACCATAAGTATAGCAGTTTTCTATTTTATTATTATTACATTTTATTTATTTTATTTAATTATTTATTTTATTTATTTATAGTTATCAGATATTCAAAATTCTCAGTGCATTGACCGAAGCAGCGGCTACACAACGACGACTGTTTACATTTGTCAAAGATTTGGAGAAGAGGGTTTTCCGAGGGAGCTGGCTGCATTGGAGACAGGGGGAAATGCACGAAGTTGAGAGGGACAAGAAAGCTGAGGAAAATAAAGAGGATCCAGCGGCAGGACGGATAAAAATAAAAGTGCACCTAACATGGGACCAAAGTGACCCCCGAAATCCGGCAAACCGAATTCCGTCCGAGACTCTTATCTGTCTCCCGGATTTGTGACTCCTTTGCCCTTTTCCCTTTTCCCTTTTCCATTCCCATTGCCCATTCCCAGTCTCTAGATTCTCATTTTCCTTGTGTGTTTAGAGAGTGTCTGGCCTCATCTGGTTTGGCTGTTTGGCTTTTTGGCCGCGTGTCCCTGAATTGGCTCAGAGTTCGGGGGTGTCGGGATTTGTGGCGCCCCCAAGTCTCCGTCTCAATCCCACCCACAACTCGGAAAAAACACCGAAACACCGTAATGCCGAAATGCCGAAATACCGAAACCCCGAAAAAGGTGCGCGTCCTAAGCTGACCGTGAATGGATGAGGATCAAGTTGTCGAAATTGCCAGCGGAACCCTGCTTACCTCGATGATAATAACTTGGCTTGTTGGCTGGCTGTCAGCACTCTGCGGCCAAGAGCAGGTTGGCAGCCCTGTCAGCGACTTGGCCATCTATCAGACAGGTTGGCAGCTCGCAACAATCTTAAAAGGAGTTAACATTTTTGGTTGCTTTTAAGCGATTTTCGGATTCTGTTAATTTAATCATGTCATTTTACTTAAATTTCTGATAAACTTAGTTTAAAGTTATTACAAAATAAAAAAAAGTGTTACTTCTTAAAGTAAATGTATTTTGACACATATTTTTTGATTCCCAAAATACCAGATACAGCCAAACTGTTGCTATTTTAAGTTTTCCATATATATAATGGAGACCAGTGGGTGATTTATTGTAACTTAAATTTCTAAAAATATTTTTTTAATTGTTACAAAACAGCATTGTTTTTATTTTTAAACATATTTTTTAGACCAAAATGAATGTTTGAATAAAATGTTTGAATAAAAGCTAAACTGAATATCAAATTGACAGGTGAGTGATTTAGTTATTCCGTTGCACATACAACTTAGAGATGATATTCCTATGCCAGTTTAAAAGGTTTATAATATTTTGCCAACTTTTTGGCCAAGAAGTTGCGGTACGGACTGAAATAGAGCTGCTTCGGTGGCGGTAATCATTCGAGCCGCTTTGAAAACATCAATTAGCTTCAAGGCTGTTTCGAGAGGGAAAATGGATATGGAAAAGGGAAGGCAGTACCGGCTTGGTCATATTTTGGCGCAAGTTTTCACCACACGCCCAAAAGTGGAAAATGCAGACGCTGCACCGACGCCAACCGACGAAGACGAAAAGTGGGGAAAAGTGGCAAGACGAGTGGGCCTCGTGGCAATTGCGATTCGGGCCAAGAGTTCGGCATCGGTTTATTCCACTTCGGCTTCGGAAAATGCGGCTCGGAAAACGGCGTTCGGAAAATGGATGAAAACACAGGCGGCATTATCAGACGGCAACTTCAGTTGCAAGCGAGCGCTCAGCGTGTGTGTCTCGTGTCTCTCGTGCGGCAACAGCAACCTGCAACTTGCAACATCAGTGGCAACGTGCAACACCCAGCAGCAACTAGCAGCATAAATTGCGTGTTTCTTGACTTTGACTCTTTGGGGCCACAAAATACGATACGGCGATTTCGAATTTCAAGTTTCCCGCGCGCTAGCTTTTCTCAAATCAAATTTTTGTTGACCGCCGACTGTTGAGTGTTTTGTTTTGGTTTTTGCTCGTGTTGTGTTGTCACGTGCTCATTTGTTTATTTGTTTTTTGTTGCTGTGCTGTGTGGTGCCAATGAAACAACCGAATTCGAAAGAGCAACCAAAGCAACGTGCAGCATTTGCTGAACTTCTTTTGAAAATACAAGAGTGGATTTTGTTTTGAGAACAGCAGCATCCTGTTATGGTAGATGGACCGCCAAATCATCTGTATTTTTTTGGAAAATCCTCATTGCACCTGAAGCAACCTGCCATTTGATGGGCTTTGTTTGAACATTGCAGTTGGTAAATTTAAAAAAAATGTATAAAAGACACTTGCAATTTTATAGCACTTTTTAAAAAACCCAATTTTTTTTATTAAAACAATTCCACTTGCTAAATTTTAACATTTATTTCTAAAAGAGTTGTTAATGTTTTTACATGTTGATAAACTTCTTAGGATCTTAAATGTCATAATCAGCTTTTCCAAGAGCCCTTTTTTAAAACAAAACAAAAGATCTTCTTTTAAATAAAATCAGCAGTACAAAAATGCCAGAAAACCAAGCTTATATTGCATTTGTAGAAGTCTTAACTTATAATGATATTCAAAACGTCCAGAAATATTTAAGGATCTTCATTGAATAATCAAAGCAACCTGCAATACTTGCTGCACATAAAAAAATTAAAACTCAAGGTAGATTTCAAGTTAAATCGATAAGAAAACCGGCAACATTTTCATTAGTCATCATATCTGTATTCTATCTATCTATCATCTATCTATCTATCATCTATCTATCTATCTATCTATTTATCTATCTATCTCTATATATATCTATCTATCTATTAATCTATCAATCTATCAATCTATTTCCTCAATATTAAATCTTACAAATTTCCTAAGCTATGTGCAATGTTTTGTAAAACATCTAATATTTTTCTTCACCAGCAATATTTTTTGGTTTTCTAAACACAACCTGCGATATTTATTGCAACCGATGGAAACCTGCAGTATTCTCATAAATTATAATTTTAAAAAACTTAGATATTAATTCCTTAGAATTTCCTAAGCTATCTGCAGTATTTTCTAAAACATCTAATAGCTAGCAATAATTTTCTATACCAGCAATATGTGTTGCTCTTCTAATAACAACCTGCGATATTTATTGCAACTGATGAAAATCTGCAATATTTTCATAAATTATAATATGCAAAAACTTGAATATTATTTCCTGCAATATTTTCTGAAACATCTAGTAGTCAGCTGAAACATCTTATAGCAAGCAATAATTTTCCTTACCAGCAATATATGCTGCTCTTCTAATAGCAACCTGCGATATTTATTGCAACCGATGGAAATCTGCAATATTTATTTTCATAAATTATAATATATACAAAAACTTAAATATTATTTCCTGCAATATTTTCTGAAACATCTAATAGTCAGCTGAACCATCTTATAGCCAGCAATAATTTTCCTTACCAGCAATATGTGTTGCTCTTCTAATACCAACCTGCGATATTTATTGCAACTGATGGAAATCTGCAATATTTTCATAAATTATAATATAAAACAAGTTGAATATTATTTTCTGCAATATTTTCTGAAACATTCAATAGTCAGCTGAAACATCTTATGGCCAGCAATAATTTTCCTTACCAGCAATATGTGTTGCTCTTCTAAGAGCAACCTGCGTTATTTATTGCAACCGATGGAAACCTGCAATATTTCCATAAATTATAATATATACAAAAACTTGAATATTATATTCTGCAATATTTTCTGAAACATCTTATAGCCAGCAATAATTTTCCTTACCAGCAATATGTGTTGCTCTTCTAATAGCAACCTGCGTTATTTATTGCAACCGATGGAAACCTGCAACATTTGCGGACTGGACGGTGTGTGACTGGTTCGTGTTGCTTTACTTTTTTTTTTTGTTGTTCGTATTTATTTTTTAGCGAAAGTTTCTGGGGTGTTTTGTGTGTGTTTTGTTTGATTTTCTTGTGATTTTCTTGTGATTTTCTTGTGCCGGCGTGACGAGTTGCCAGTTGGCTGTTATTGGTGTTTGGCGTTTGGCGTTTGGCGTTGCTGCGGGGGAAAATGAAAACAATTTGCAGTTGATGCTTGGCCTCCTCTTTTCTTCATCTCCAGTTTGGGCGCCCCTAATTAAACCGGTTAAGCGTTTCGTTTCGTTTTTTTTTCATTTTTGTTTCATTTTTTGTAATTTTTTTTTTTTTGGTTTGCTGCTAATTGCCAGTGAAATTTGTGACAGCGGCGGCAACACGACGACAACGACAACAATCAGCTGCCATTGTGTGTCCTTGTTAATGAAATCGTTAAGCTTTCCGAAGGACCCGTAGCCATGGCACACAGGACGATTACGATGACGAAAAAAGGATGAGGTTGCTGATGATGCGATGCGATGCGATGCGATGCTGCGATGCTGCTGGCGGGGCCAATATCAAAAGGATTTCGTTTGAATGCGAAAATATGGGGGAAATATGCGAAAAATGTTTGCGTGAGGAATCTGGCAAACGGAGCGATATGCTGATGGCAAACAGCTGCCTTTGGGGGGGATCTCTTGGCAAAAAGCTGTTGAAACGCTAACCGAAAATCTGTGAAAAACCCCTTAGGAACAATGGCCTAAAGGGTGTTTACATTGAAAATCAAATAAACCCATCGTTAAGTGTGGAAGGGCAAATTTCGAACATTGGTGGCTTAAAGACAATAGATCTTTTTTAATTTGACAAGATTTAGTGAAGGTTGTTATAACATAGTGAGCATTGAGGAAGTTTTTAATGCAATGTTAACAATAGTTAAATTGATAATGAAAAAAATAAAACTTGGCTATTTTGGTAACAACAGCCTAAAGGGTGCTTATATTGAAAATCAAATTAACCTATCGTTAAATGTAGAAAGGCATATTTCGAACATTGGTGGCTTAATGACAATAGATCTTTTATAATTTGACAAAATTTAGTGATGGGTGTTGTAATATAGTGAGCATTGAGGAAGTTTTTATTGGACTATGATTTAAAGTTAAATTGATAATGAAAAAAAGCAAAAAATTGAGAGCATTGTTAAATGCTTCTACTTTTGGTTAAGCAAAAGTTTTTGGCTAATAATGGGTTCGAAAGCCTGACAGATTTTTTTGTTTCGTCCGACACATATCAAATTAAAATTAAAAATTTCATCTAAATGTAAATAAAACAAGTAAAAGTCCACTGAAAAATACTGGGACAGACGGAAAAGATAAACAAAAGGAATTGGGCAACTAAATGAATATGAAGTCATCAGCAGAGCGCCATGTGCAGCAACAACAAACTGAAACTGCAGGGGGGCGGTGGGTGGGAAAAGCGCGGAAAATCCAGGGGGCGGGGAAAATGTGAAAACGCGCCAAAGAGACGGGCAACAGCGGAAAAATGCCGCCAAACGCAAATACTGCGGCACAATTTCATTTTTTTTTTTTGTTATCTCACGTTTTTTTGTCGGTTTATTTCTTATAAATTTTTTTTTATTTCTTCTTTTTTGTCTGCTTTTCAAGGGGACACCAAAACACACTCACACTTTCAAAGCTTCGTCGCCTGCGGGCCAAAATTTTAGATTTTCACTTTTTCCCAACGCGTTTGCTGATATTTTTTTTCTCTCTGTTGACAAAATATCCTACAGCAGCGGCATAAGCAAAAAAAAACAGGCCTACATTATGAAATTTTTAATCAAATGAAATGACAATACAATTTTGCTGATGCCAAATTAAATGAAATGTCAATTTCGAGTGCCCAAAAAAACGAGAGAAATTTGGAAATCGCTCAAAAGTCTTAAAAAATGAGGGAAAAGTTTATGGCAGCGAAAATGGTGGCTTCCGTTAGGCATTTCAATAAAACCTTTAATTAAAATGTTTTTTATTTGCTTTTAAGTATGTGCAGGCGTGTTTACTTAATAAAGTAATTTCACCCACTCATTATTATTAAATAATCCTTGTAGTAGCTTATTTAAAACTTATAATAATTATCTTTAGACCACCCCAAGCAGCCCACAATTTACATAAACTATATTATGTTTATTATAATTGATTTATCCAATTAATGACTTAATTCCAAATCAAACACAGAACAATTCCTGAACCGATAAACACAATGTATTGATACTAATTGAATGAAGGAAATTCGAGCCACTGAACCCTAGTTCTCCCCAATCAAAATGCTACGAATCGGTCATCTGCGTTTTGGCCATTTATGCAAAGTTGATTTACAGATTTCCAGATTTGCATTAAGGCCAGGTGGCATAATTGATATTAATTTTGTAATTAAAACACAAATTGATGGAATGGGCGGTGGTGGCGGGAAAAAGGGCGGGGGGGATTATGCAATATTTCGCAGCAAAAACATTTCAATTTACCAATAATCAAATATCAAATCGCAGAGAGAAACAAACTAAATTGTCAAACATTTCGACATTTGTGACACTTGACATAAACTGGCAGCTACATCTGCATATTTGTGTGTCCATTCGAATGGCCTAATTTATGCATTTTTGATGGAACCGATTTTGTAATGAATATTCCAATAATCGATGGCCAATATTGGGTTATGTTTAATTGAATTAACCATTGTTCGAAAAAGTCGGAGGGCAAATTGTTTCGAAAATTGCAATCTGAAAAACGAAAGTCTCACTCTTTGCAGCCAGCGAATGCAGCGGAGCATTAAAATTACCTTTTAATTATCACGAACGAAACGTACACATGCAGAAAATACAGAAATAAAAAAAGGAAAAACAACTCTGCATAAATCCATAAATTGCCTAAGCATGAACATAACTTAAATCAAAAATGGCTTAGCTTTTATCCCCTCACAATCACGAATGATCGTTGGTATAATTAACAAGCTGCGATTTTAATATTACCTGACCAGATGGATTGAAATTTCGATGGGTATTAAAGATTATTTCATCGGATTGCTGAGGATAGGTTGTTTGATTTGGAAAGGGAAAGCCTCATTTTACGATAAAGTGCACAAATTAATTATTGATGCTTGCTGATCTCTATAAATATATATTATAATATAAAACTATAAATATTCTTAGCACTATCATAGTATTTCCTATGTCTAGTCTTTCTTTTATTCTCTCGCTTTTCCTGCAAATCGGTGACAAATTTATAGGGATTATTTTGATCGGGCTCAGCTCTTTAAGGCTCTCAAATATGTTTTGGCTAGCTCGCCTGACAGCTGTCAGCTTCAACTTTCGCCCCCTTCTCCACCTGTCTCACCTGCGTTTTTCCTCATTTTTTTTTTTTTGCACTTCATCA